CCTGCGCCCGCCTCGGAGCCCTCGGCCCGGGGGAGGGCAGAGGCCGCTAGCCCGGTCTATGTCTTTTTCTGACTCCAGTGCAACCTTCCTGCTGAACGAGGTAACCGCGGTGGGGGCGGGGGAGCTCCGCTACAAGCCGAGAGGGCCGGCGTCTGGGGGAGACCGGGAATGGGGTGGGAAGGAGGCGGAGGAGGGGAAGCCCAGGATGGGGGCGCCCCGGCCAGCCGCTCCCAGGTACTGGGACTAGGGAGGGGAGAGCTGGCTAGGGAGCCAGAGCTGGTGCTAGATTAAGAGCGCTGAGCCAGGCTTCCGAGGTACCCGTCTCTGAATTCCCCGGGGTCAGCCTAGCAACTACCTGCGCTAGACCGCCACCTGGTCCAGAACTCCTAGCTCTTACCTCCGTTTCCCCCACTCAGTCTGCCCAACTTCCTGGTACACCTGGAGGACAGAATGTATTTTAGAGGCTCCTAAGAACCCTTAACTCCCTAACCGCGTCCTTTAGGCTTTTGCCCTTACGTCCTTCCGTGTGACCGGACTGGCACGAGTAGGCAGGTGCGGGTGAGGTGAGAGATGAGAGAGGTATTGGGTAGCAACCCGGAGACTGGGGAGGGCGCTCTGAAGCACCTGCAGGACCCAGGGGATGGAGCCAGGAATGAGGAAACAGAGAACCCATCTCCTGGGGGGTGGTTGGCATGGCAACTCGTGCCTCCGGAGCAGACCTGGACACACTGTCCCAGCAGGGCAGGAAGACAAATGGGTGTGCTGCTGGTGGATCCGCTGTGACCTACAGCGCACCCGCTGCGGAGGGGGGCGTCTCAAAAGGAGAGGCGGAGAGTAGCTTCAGAGATGGGAGAGACCCATCAGAACCGCCCCGGGAGAAGGGCACTGTAAGGGTCTTACTCCCCGCCTGAGGGAGAGAAGGAATTGAGAAAAGATGAAAAGGGAGGACACAGGGAACACCAAGGAACTGGGAAAGGGCATAAAGGGTGAAGACCGTGCCTGAGAACTTCCAGTGCAGCCACAGGGCTCCCAGCGAAGTTCTGCGCCAACTCCAGCAGGAGAAAGACGCGGAGCAAGGCTGCACTGGCCATCCTGTGTATCAGGCGGGCTAAGGACAGTCTCAGGATGTGGCTCCTCTCTTTTCTTGCCGAGGGGAACAGGAAGAAGTGGTCTGGGTAGGAAGCCAGTTGGCTTGGGTGGTCTTCTCGTCCGTGGACTGTGCCTTTTGTCATAGATTTTAAGCCCTTTCAAATTTTGACTTTCTGATTTTCCTCTGGCCCAGGATGGCAAAGAGGTGAGCAGATCCCTGAACTCCCGCCCCTGGGAGTGAGAAATTGGGAGTGAAAAGGGCTTAGCTTAGGAGCAAGAGCACAGACAAAAGCGCACGACCAAGTGTAACCGCGTGCATCTCACACCCATCTCCTGGGGCGTCCAGGTGGGAATTCAAAATTTAAAGCAATCATTTTGGTCAAATTAAAAAAAAAAGGTGGTATATCTTTGGGGGAAGTTTCTTCAGGATAAGGGCTGCTACTCTTTCAAATCTCAGTGCCCCTTTCCAGACTAAGTGGTGCAGAGAGCGGGGGTTCCAGCTCAAGCAGGAAGTAGGCCACTGCCCACCGCACCCCTGGCCTTACCAAGAGGGCGATTCGCTGCCCTTTCCCCCGTGCAACTCCAATGTGCCTGGATCCCACCACCTAGAATTACACACACACACACACACACCTTCCAGCCTCTAGTCTCTTTCCTCTCCCTTTCAGTTAACCTAGAACACCCATGTTCTGCCCAGGTCCCACGGAAGCCTTAGCACTGTCTGACACAACCCTTGGCGGGGAACCTCCTCCTGGCCGGACTAGGATGCAGTCCGTCCGCGCAACAGGTGCGGGGCGGTCCACCCAGCTCCCGCAGCTCACCCCTTCTCGGCCGGCGGCGCCGCCCTGCTGCAGCCCGGCGCTCGCCGGGGCACCTGTTGGGCTCCTTCCGCGGCGTGGGCCTGGGTCGCCAAGGCCCTGCGTCCCGGGTACTGCTGTGGGCTTTGCCCTGGTGTCGCCCCGGCCGGAC